CCCTTCTGTGGGGGAAAGAGCCCCATCTAACTTCAGGCTTTTATCCACTATTAAAAAAAGAATAAACACAAGCCTCTCACTTCTTCATGAAAGCCACCAAATCTTCCGCTTTTCTCTTCTTGTACTTGAAGGCAAACTCGCCGTCTCTGCACAAGAAGTTGACTCTGCATTAATGAATACTCTACTACACATTATCCCTTACTTGCAAATTACAAATAATAATAATAATAATAATAATAATGATAATGATAATGATAATGATAATGATAATGATAATGATAATGATAATGATAATGATAATAATAATAATAATAATGTTCTATTCCAAATTAGGTACCTAATTACATGAAATTTTCGCGACACGTTAATTACGCGAACTCCCGATACAAAAGAAATCGCGAAATTAAAGTCACGCGAAAATTAAATGCCGGACTCACCATAATCAAGAAAGAACAAGAAACTTACCACGGAGACGTTTATAAATCACATTTTTTACTTTGCTGATGAATTTTCAGTGCAAATGGGTGTTGCGGTCAATTGACTGAAGAACAATGATTCACGTACAAGCATAAACTGCTTGTGGACATTGTGAGAACAGCTTGGTTTTTCTTAATTGTGACGTTATTGTTCCTTAGATAAAGTGGTTATATTTAATTCAAAGACATGTTAAATAACATTGCCTATGGAATGTGAATTGTTGTACTCAAACACGCGAATTTAAAGTGATTCAAAATATAAAATTTTTGCAAAATCGCGAAATTAAAGTGTCGCAAAATATGCCCACATCAAAATCGCCAAAACAAACATGTCACGAAAATTTCATGTAATAAACTATCAGCTCATACACATAATTATTTTCTATTTAGTAACTTTTTTTAATTTATGAGCGTCTGACTCTGCCTTACCAAAGATTTCGAATTATGTTCACTAACATATCAATACATTCTAGACAAATTAAAACAGACGAAAGTTTCCAGCCAAATAAACAGCACGAGAGAAAACAGAAAGCTAAGCTAAGCAATTCAATGAAGATTTATTACATATGAGTAAGCAAACGAAAATTGCAGGCTTCTTTTTACAAGAGCTCTACTTACTATTCTAACAGGTATTACTTACTTGTAGTATTTCACTGATCCAGGAAAGACGTAAAGAATAGAGAAAAAAAGGAGAAAAATAACTAAAATTAGCAATGGCGTTTGTAAATAGGGAGCTTAAACAACAACCACGGCGACGGCAACGGCGACGGCTACGAAAACGTCACTTAAAAAGTGAAGTCACGCTGCTTCAAACTTTATCGTTTTCATTCCATCTCGTTCACTTCCTCAAATGTTTGAAATTTGTGTGGGAGTTGAATTCTAACAGACTATATCGTAGTTCAGGAAAAGAAAAGTAAAGTCATTGTCTTGTGTTTACCGACGTCCTCCACAAAACGTGAAATTAGTCACTTTCTCGTTGTAGTCGTGCAGTGACCGCAAAGAAATGTACAAAAAAGCGTTGCTGCACGTGCAAAATTGTTGTTTTGCCAATCAAACCTATTGCTTTTTTGCCGTTCTCGTTGACGTCGCCGTCGTCGTTGCTTAAGCTCCCTAATGTTTGACTGTTACCCCCCTCGCCACCCTTTCTTTTGCTTGACCCCGAGCCTTATTTCAACTCAGTGGAGTGTACCGCCAAAATTCGCCACTTTCGAGACGAGACGGGAAATGAGCCGCGTTAACTTTTGAAAACACTTCTGGGCGCGTCCGCAGTAACGATCCCAGAAACTATTGCCGGGCGCATTTTGGCTCCAGTCTCCTTCTCGTTTCTAAAGTGGCGAGTACCCCTCAAGTGATAGGCTCTTACGCCACTGCTAAACAAGGTTAGCCTGGACAGGAAGTAAAAAAACACTTACGCGTGGGATATCCTTTAACTTCCTGTTCTTTACACAGGTTTGTCTCTGTAGCACAATCCACAGCACCCATAGCGCCTTCTACCTTGTTCTCAGTATTCACTTTTTTGGCCGCTGAAGAATATTCCGGTTTAATCTTTTTTTACTACGTGACCGCCACCCCCCGTGTTCCCACTCTCCTCCTGCCCCGGCTTTTTGTTCTTTTTGTTTTGTCACCCCACGTGTGTGTGGAAATAATAGTTTGGTGTGGAAGGGGTTGAAAAAGAGAAGAAGAGAAAGAAAGTGGGTGGGTTGTTTTTTTTGGGGGGGGGGGGGGGGGGGGGGGGACAAACAAGGTGTATTATGGGAGATGTGCAAATGGCGAATTTCCAATTTTATTTTTAAAAAAAAGTCGGAATGTTGAAAAGCGAAGCAAAAGACTAGTCGGCGGCGGTTTATGGAGTCATTGTCACGGTCGCTTAACTCTGGAACCGCTTCGCGAAAAGCTTCAGTGAGTCCAATACCTCTCGAGGTCACACAGTAAATTCGGGAGACAGGTCCTTGGCTCGACATCATACCCTTGGCAGAAACACTACATTTTGGGGAATTCTGCATAATTTAAGTCGCAACTAAAAATTGTTTACAGTAAACCATTTTACCTACATGCAATATTTGGGTTTAATAAGTACTGGCCATTTTGAGATGAAACGTTAGACTTGTCACAGTCTCCTATTTTTACGTAAAATCGTCAGGATCGAGCGCTTACCGGCATGGTACCAGTAGGTACCGAAGGGGCGAACGTTCAGGTTTATAGCGGTGGGGGAAGGGGTGCGAGAAAAATAGAGGGACTTTCTCGCCTCGTCCCAAACCATCCCCCACCCCTACGAAGATTTGACACTCATCCAAGATGGCCGCCCGTAACACAAAGCGCTTGACCTCGGCGAAATTACGTAAAAATAGGGGACTGTGAACAGTGATAATTAAAAGTGAAAAACGTTCGGCTTTGTTTCCAATTGCGTTATGGGACTCTGAGGAAAAATTGCTTTTTGTTGGCTATTACGCTGATGTGCGGGAAGCTGGTACAAAATATCTTGTGTACAAGCCAGGATTAACACATTCGGCAGGTGCGCGCCCTTCTGTGGGGGAAAGAGCCCCATCTAACTTCAGGCTTTTATCCACTATTAAAAAAAGAATAAACACAAGCCTCTCACTTCTTCATGAAAGCCACCAAATCTTCCGCTTTTCTCTTCTTGTACTTGAAGGCAAACTCGCCGTCTCTGCACAAGAAGTTGACTCTGCATTAATGAATACTCTACTACACATTATCCCTTACTTGCAAATTACAAATAATAATAATAATAATAATAATAATGATAATGATAATGATAATGATAATGATAATGATAATGATAATGATAATGATAATGATAATAATAATAATAATAATGTTCTATTCCAAATTAGGTACCTAATTACATGAAATTTTCGCGACACGTTAATTACGCGAACTCCCGATACAAAAGAAATCGCGAAATTAAAGTCACGCGAAAATTAAATGCCGGACTCACCATAATCAAGAAAGAACAAGAAACTTACCACGGAGACGTTTATAAATCACATTTTTTACTTTGCTGATGAATTTTCAGTGCAAATGGGTGTTGCGGTCAATTGACTGAAGAACAATGATTCACGTACAAGCATAAACTGCTTGTGGACATTGTGAGAACAGCTTGGTTTTTCTTAATTGTGACGTTATTGTTCCTTAGATAAAGTGGTTATATTTAATTCAAAGACATGTTAAATAACATTGCCTATGGAATGTGAATTGTTGTACTCAAACACGCGAATTTAAAGTGATTCAAAATATAAAATTTTTGCAAAATCGCGAAATTAAAGTGTCGCAAAATATGCCCACATCAAAATCGCCAAAACAAACATGTCACGAAAATTTCATGTAATAAACTATCAGCTCATACACATAATTATTTTCTATTTAGTAACTTTTTTTAATTTATGAGCGTCTGACTCTGCCTTACCAAAGATTTCGAATTATGTTCACTAACATATCAATACATTCTAGACAAATTAAAACAGACGAAAGTTTCCAGCCAAATAAACAGCACGAGAGAAAACAGAAAGCTAAGCTAAGCAATTCAATGAAG